CGTTGGGGAAACCCTGGGGAAACCCTCGTTATCAATATATTCATGATCCAGCGAGGGTAAGTGACAAGTACCACTACGCTTGGATAAAACACTTTAGCAGGCTGTTGTATGACCAATCGGCACACAGAGAAAAGACCCACTTCTGCGAACGGGATTGCCTACATGGCTTCACACGAGCTGATTTATTAGAATCCCACCGGGAGGATTGCCAAGGTGTAAGCAGACGGCAATACGAGTCGACATGCCTAAAAGAAGGTGACAATATCCTAAAATTCGGTAAACTACAAGAACCAAATGTCTGTGCCTTATATCATATACGCCGACTTTGAAGCCTTGGTTAAACCAGTTGAGGCTGTTGGGGTACCCCACCATTGGTACACTCAAAAGTTCAACAAAACAGGAGCATGAAGCCTGTGGGTTTGGATACATTGTCGTCCGTTGTGATGGGAAACGAAAGCTCCCGTAGTGTATAGGGCCCCTGACGCGGCTGAAAGGTTTCTAAAGTGTTTGCAGGAGGAAGAAAAAATTATTAGGAATGCACTGTATAGAGTCGCTCCCATGCGTATGACCCGAGCCGACAGGCTAGCCTCACGCCTGTAGCACTAACTGTCACGTGTGTGACTCACCACTGAATGGTGATTCGGTGAGAGATCACTGCCACGTAACCGGTAAGTATAGAGGCGCGGCTCACAGCAACGTGTAACCTCAAGCTTAGAATCAACCCTAAGACAATAAAACATCCCCGTTGTCTTTCACAACTTGAGAGGGTACGACTCTCTCACTTAATCATGCAGGCAATCGCGAAAATCGATGGTAATATAACGTGCATCCCCAACAACATGGAGAGATACATCTCCTCCAGCTTAAACGGCCTTAGGTTCATAGATTCAGTACAATTTCTATTGTCTTCATTAGACAGTCTGGTCAAGGCCAACGATACCTTCCTATCACCGACCGATACACAGACACGAGACTAGACCCCTGCTTATGAGGAAGGGTGTGTACCCTTATGAGTACATGGATAGTTGGCCCAAGTTCGCTGAGACCAGACTACCCCCATCAGAGAATTTTACAGCAATCTGACAGACTCGGAAATATCCCCAAGATGATTACTCACATGCTATTAATGTATGGAATAAACTGGGTTGTAAGAACCTGGGGATTATCATGACCTGTACTTGAGGACAGATGTACTGCTGTTAGCCGACGTGTTTGAGACGTTTAGGCGGACGTGTTTCAAGCAGTATAAACCTCGGACCCTCGTAATGGTATTACCCAGCCCAGGTCTGTCGTAGGATGCCTTGCTTAAAAAGACCGGAGTTAAGTTGGAATTGCTTTACAGATTATGACATGCACCTATTCATTGAGAAAGGCTTTGCGAGGTGGGATCTCCATGGCAACCAAGCGATACACGCGAAAGCAAATAATCAATAATACGTTAAGGGCTACGACCCAGCAAGCCAACCAATCACATTCTCTACCCTCGACGCCTAACAACCTGTATGGCTGGGCCATGAGCCAGTATCTACCCACAGGGGTCCGTTCGAATGGCGTCACAGGAGGTCGATGTTATGAGCATCGCACCAGATCTCGAATAAAGGTTATATCCTCGAGGTTGACTTGGAATACCCAAGGCATTACACATCACACAACAGCTACCCCTGGCCCCGAACGTATGAGGTTAACCCAGACTGGATGTCTGAGTACCAACATAACTTGTTAGGTGGGCGTGTGATGAACGTTGAAAAACTCAAGGTTCCCAACTTAATGAATAAGACCAAATTACATCGTTCACTATCGCAACCTACAGCTGTACCTGTCGTTGGGTATGAGGCTGACTAAAATACACAGGGTGCTCGGTGTTCACCCAGAGCCCCTGGATGGAGCCTTCCTTACATCGGAATGAACACAGACCTCCGAAAGCTTGCTAACCAGTGACTTTGAGAAAAATCTCTACAAGCTCATAGACAACTTCGCAAAGTTTGGTAAGACCGTATGGAGAACCTGAGGTTCGACTGGCGTGATTCGTGAAGCTGGTTCGGTCGAGATAGGGGAACAAGCTCGAGGTAGACTGATAATGATCGGCATTCAACCCGTAGCAAGATATTCACCGATGATCTAGTTGCGGCTACATGAAGAAAAGCCACATATGAATTCAGCGGCTGTTTGCATTGGGGATGAGTTTATCCTTCCCATTTTGATCTCGCAAACACTGATGTACGACTTTTACTACAACGAGCTACAAGAAACAATTACAGCGACAGGTGTGAAGTTCTGTACACTGACCACAGTTCCTGCTTTTTATTGGAGATTTCGAACCCGAGGACGCGTAATACGTTGACGTGGAACACCTCGATTTGTATGATTACCGAAGCTGACTACCCTAAGGGCCATGCCATACACAGTACGGTAATGTAAAAAGGTCCTACGTGCAAGATGAAGGACGAGTGCTGTATACGCCCATAGCCGAGAGTACATAGGGTTTGAGGCCTAAGATGCGTCTTCACATACTGAAGAATGGAAACAATGGTGAAATCCGGAAGGCTGGAGGGTGGTTAAGAGGTATGTGGTGAAACAACAATCGATTTAGATTCATGGAAGCCCCGAACGCACATCCTATTCCTTTGAAGTATAAACGAACGGATGGACCTGAAGCGATAAAGGCGATGGAGGCGATCGATCGATAAAACAAGTTATCGTCCGAATGCCCATGAATACCAAACGCTGGATAGTTTCATTGATGATGCAAACAATTTATTTATGATGGAAGTACCGGAACGCATTACGTCACTTTGAAACCGTCGAGCTGGTTTATCACAGCCCGGGTATCGGAGCGAGCTGAATGTAGATGCTTTCAGTTAAACAAGGCCAGAAAGTACCGGAGAGGTCAAAGCATCGGAAAACAGGGTAGATCTTGATTTGCGTCACGCCATGAATATGTTCTGGTGCTGGAATATGCTCCGGTATTGGCTGCTCAACAGTGCGGACCTACCACTTACCCACTATGCGAGGCAGCATACTTTCAACCGTAGTGGAATGAAATAGTTTATACGCCTGGAAATCTTGACCGCGAAAGACTGCCCAGGTAGCCGGTGAGAGATTCTAACTATATGAAATTCATCCATTTGACGGGCCAAATAGAGCTGCAAGCTGACCGACGAGTTCATGGAAGTATTTGTTCAACCGGCTAGCCAAACACTATCAGGGTGCGGGTACTCTGCTGGTTCAACGCGTTTTCGCTTCTATGAAGCCGAGAGATTTAATACTGGTATCTGGCGTTAGGTTTTATTCGACATCGCGATGTTGAGGAGATAAAATCCTGTTCCGATCATCGAACGAATTGAGTTACCGGGCGTGGTAAGTGTCGGCGAATACCAATCACGAAGTCACCGGCTCATCGATACAGAAACGCGGCATTTTATCAAATCGCACCATGAGTCGGTTCACGCGGGTAAAGTGATAAGTTCGGTATTTGATAGCCCAGCAGCATCTTCGTATGCCCCAGCCTTCAAAACGCTTTGAGGCGGAGAGTCGGTTAATACCCATCCCGCCAAAATTGATGATGTTTTAATATCGCGCCGGTGACGATTTCTAACTCGTACGCCGAGGATGTGGCGAAGTTTTGCAGGAGAATAATTGATGACGTACCGCGTATGCATGTTATTCTATATGAAGTAAACCGGTCGATCGTCATGCCCTTAGCGGTTTAGAGGTGCCTCGCGATCCCAACTTCTTGTGGTGAATGGCAGCGCTGAGTTTATAACTTCCGACCGCCCGCTCGTAAGCTGTGGCGAGGCCTTTGCCGAAAAGGTCCTAACCCGCTGGACGCCCAAACTCTTTCTGGTGGTGAAAACGGTAGCGGTTTATGGAATCACGTAAAAGTTCTTTATCGGTACGGCGCCTTCGCGAGGCCTTTGCGAAAGTTTATCCGGGGTGGAACCCCACGAAGTATATTTACGTTCTCATCACCGTTCGTCATCAACGATCTGCGCCACCATATAAGCGCTATCCCTGAATTTTAAATCGTTGATGCAATTTGATAAAATGAGTATTTTTCGGAACAGGTTCCAAAATTTACCAATGCACCGTAGATGACGCTACTACGGTGGCCAGAAAAAGGTTGTAGTTTTTACGAAAACCGGTTCTTTCTAATAGTAGTAACAGACCCCGGTCTTGCCGTCGCCCGCCACAGCTAACGAAAGCTCTTTATCCTGTGGAAAGCCATTCACGGTAAGTATATGCTTCTTATACACATGGTATTACTTGATTACCCCTGGAGACACGGGGTAGAATGTGTTCCCCAGCACCCCATTTCCCCATCCGCAACACTCATCGTGTAGCGCTTTGACAAGTTCTTCTTGACACTGACGTTGGTATCCTTACCATGCTACTACGACCAGCGACGATCACACCAGAGTAGATGTTGTGTAACCACTGACGTAATGTTGGCATCATAACGATTTGTAAGGGCGTCAGGACCATGTGGCCAGTCGAACATGGAGATAAAGAAATATTTCTAATCGTTTGACCCCTAAACCAATTTAACGGATCACCAGTGGAGAGTTAACAACGCCCCCAAAAGTAAGGGAGATAACTCTCAAAAGTTCCGACAACATAGCTGTCAAAACCAACTGTCAAAATGTTGATTTATTTCTGAAGAGTCCGCCAGACCGCTGATGTCGGACAAAGTGGTGGTCAGCTGCCAGCAGATTGAATAATTTGACGTTCCTCATTAGTCAGGTCATTTGTTTGACTGACAGGTGGCGATAAGTTGAAGAGTCTGCAGAAGTTAAATTGTCATTGTAATCCTCGATTTGGGATCAGTCGATCGTGGGCCTGATCCAGCGAAGCGTTCGTAATGTCAACGGTAGGAGTATGGGGTCTTGCGATCCACCAAAGCGTTCTGTTACGTTACGAATGTCGTAGCGCTTCAACGCTTTTGTGAATCTGGGCCCCGTTCCTAAAACGATCGTAGCTTTAAGATGATCGTAACTCCCATACTTTAACATAGACTTACGACTGTCGTAGCGCTACGATCGCTTTGAGGAACGGGGCCCTGGATCCTGTATTCCTGCCGTTGACTGTGAACATTGGACACGTTGATCTTCAACATTTAGGGTTTCTTTTAACTTCGTCCATCGTCTACGATAAGCACATTGGGGGTGGGGGTGGGGTGTTTATGATTTTCAGCGCATCATAAAATCACAGACCCTCTGCCCCTAGGGAATGTCGGACAACTCCATTTATGCCATGATTAGGTTTTTTTCCGGAATATTCTCACAACTCTCTGGCGACCACGGTACCCTTTTGTAATAAATTAGAATTTACCTCGTCTGTTCTGAAAGTGATCGTTTGGCTTACGTACGTTTGCCATATATATCTCGCGAATCACTACCCTCTCAAAACTAATGTCTACCATCGTCAGTCTGCGAGCGTATGTTCGGATCTTCTGAAATAACATGACGACACAGTATTTTATCGTTATATCTTTAAATTCACAACTCCTCTTTCTACATTGTTCTTTTCAGAGTCTTTTGTATTTGCTCCTTTTTTTCTTTGTTTATTTCCAGGATATAATTTTAACAACGAAAACCAGACAGCGACAGTGTGAAACACTCCTGGAGAAACTTACACTGCACGACAAATGGTGGATCCATTTTACTGAAGCTCTAGAGAAATGCGGGAAAGAATCGCTGGCCTCCCTTTTCAAAGGTATTTCGACATCAGTGGACTTGTGAAGGTCCGGGTTAGAATTGGTCTTCAGTAACCCATGCTTGTCGTATAAAGAGGAGACTAGCGGGATCGGGTGGTCAGACTCGCCCGACTTGGTTGACACATGTCATCGTATCCCAATGGCGTAGAACGATGCTCATGATGTTGACCATTGGATTGTCTGGTCCAGACGATTTAACATAAAATGTAATTCTGTCAAAGAAGCCACGTTTGAAATGCTTTGCCGCTGACTGACCGACATATATATTCAGTGACCGCGTGAATTACGGATTTGTTGCATAATGCCGAATAATAGTTGTCATGCTTGTTGACAGAAGCTCACAAAGAAAGGAATTACCCTACCTAAACGAAATAGTGTATTGAGCAAGTACACACTGTATCGGTGTATTAGGATCCATGTTTATCCATTCCTAATACCAGACACCATGATACAGGAGGCATCTCATTCATATTGAGTGAGTGAGTGAGTTTGGTTTTACGCTGCTTTTAGCAATATTCCAGCAATATCACTGCGAGGGACATCAGAAATGGTTTCACACATTGTACCCATGTAGGCAATCGAGCCCGGGGGCCACCAGCGTGACGAGCGAACCCGCCCCTAATTTCATACTGGATAATGAAGAGGAGAACCCAATGAATTCGCACCTTCTAAGCAAGATATACACAAGAAAATGGATTGGCTACAGTACTGTAATAGCGTTTTTGTTTACACCAATCACTTATCCCTACTGAGATTCTATTGTCCATTGTACGGAGTTTGCGCTCACCTGAGAAGTAACTTTGAAATCAGTCTCATATGTTGTGTAGTGATGTTGGGATTCGAACCCGGACTATACGTACAGTACGCATGTTTGTAGTATGAAGTTGTTCAGTTGTTACATTCCATCTCTAACAGGTCATTGCCTGAGGGAGTGAGTGAGTGAGTGAGTGATGAGTGGTTTTACGCCGCTGTTAGCAATATTCCAGCGATATCACGGCGGGGAACACTAAAAATGGGTTTCATACATTGTACCCATGTGGGGAATCGAACCCGGGTTTCAGCGTGACGAGCGAACGCTTTAACCATTATGCTACCCCACCGCCCCTGGCCGTTACCTGAACGCTACAGAGTGCTCCATTAGTTTGGCCATCCATTATTAATGCTGGTATGTCACCCACTTCGTTTCAGATGAACTGAAAAGGATAGAATCAGAAAATCAAAAACTCAGCAAAGGAAAGCGACACACTCCATCACACAACAGACACAGAAGCAGAAGAAGTCTAACGGATGCTGATTCAGCCTCACCATCTGCATCTTCAACAGCCTTGCGATGTCCCCGCAGGCAAAGAGATTCAGATGATTTGTCTTCAGGGAGCTCTGCGGACAATAATCCAACTGGACTTCCCGTCAGGGCCTATCAACCAAGGCAGACTGGTGCATCAACCTGTGGACGGAACTTGGAACAAAACGGACCAGTTCCTAGTGGGCAGATCCTAAAACGTAAAGATGACATATGTTTGGAATGTGACAGTTCTGACAATAGTCAACGGACATATACACTAGACACGCCTTTGAGACAGGCTCCAGCTAAATTGGCCATGAGCGTATACCGACATCTAGATTCTAAAACCAGGACGGGAAACTACGAGGAACTAGCTGGTGAATTAGGTAAATAGCTCGATTAATTGATATAGCTCCCCACTTCTGAAAGACTAGTATATCATAGGATAGGTCACTTCCCTGTCCCTTGAATTGTAGGTATACGAGTGGTAGGAGGGGGGAAGGAAGGGGGAGAAGTACATTGTTACATGCTCAACTCAAATTGAATTCATTCAATTCAATATTAAGCATTTTCAACAAGTCAAGTTCGGGGACAGGAAATACCACTACATGACGTTTTTGGCGAAAAGTACATATTGTGTGCAGTTTCTTGGGTATGCCTCATTAGTAAAAAGGAACGGAACAGTTTGTATTCCGGGCGAGGAGGCAGAATTTGGTTTGAGGCAAAGCATCATTTTCGTGCAATTCTGCAAGACAATTTACTATTCTGAAACTTGTAACTGAGCTAACAATGTTCACAACTCAGTTGTGAACTCAAAGATACAATATACTTTTCCAGGAATTTTCAGGAATAGATGTTTTTTAAAAGAATAATCACAGGTGATACATAGTCTGTCTCAGTCCTGAACTCCATTATTGCCCCTACTGCCCAAGCCCCTCTGCAACACTAAAGCCCTAAATGAAGCAAGTCTAGCTTTCCTCAGGTTCAGGAACTCCCATCTCACAGGGGCCCCTTTTCAATTTAAATGGGTTCATTTGTCAATATCAAAATCATATATATTCAGAGATTAAGCGTTAGTCGAAGGTGATACAGGGTTTCTTAATGTTGGCGGGGCGGTGTGGTAGCCCAGTGATTAAAGAGTTCGCACGTAACGCCGAAGGCCCGGGTTCGATTCCTCACGGGCACAATGTGTGAAGCGTCGTAAAACCTCAATTTACTCACTCTTAATGTTTGCTTACCAAATTACACGGTTGTTTTTGTTTTGTTTTTTTTGTAGGGTTTAACCTTGAAGACCTAACAACCTTTGTTAACACCGAAAGTGTTATTCAGCTTTTCTCACAAAAATATCCCGAGAAGAGTACATTCCGTGTCCTCATGGAAGCTCTCCATAAGATGGGGAGAAAGGATGTACTGGAGGACATCAAACAGCACATCGGTCTGGTTTGTCAGGTAAAGGAGCAGGACAATGAACTGCATGACACGTCAACCAGGACATTGAACAGAACCTGCGAGAGAATGCTTGGGAAGGTTGCTGATCGGTGTGACGATGTTCCTGATGACCCAGGTGTTATCCCTTCTGATGTCACGCATGCAGGATATCATGATGGGTTTGGCATCCCCTCTAACGTTAGCCAAATGAAATTCAATGCACCAACAGCTAATCCAAGCGAGGCTATCACCAACCCGGCCAAGAAGACTGTTCATGACAAGACATCAGAAAACAGGGTAATTGAAGATGATTTAGCTACAGCTGTTCGCTTAGAAGAAGGAGTGATGGCTCTGTATGGACAAAAGACAGAAGAGTATAATGGGGAAGATGACAAAAGAATTGCCACCAATGGTATGTCAGAAATACCAGGTAATATTGATGATGGCGCAAAACCTCCACCCATCCCTAAGGTATTACCAGGCGATTCTGGTACAGGGGCAAGACCAAAACTATACTCTGCTAATCACGATCAAAGGGAAATTTATCTTCCTCCTGACGACATAAATGGCAGACCAACACGGAAACAACTGTCACATGGAAGATCCAACGGAACAAGAAGCCCTTCTCTTGGCGAGACTGTCTCCTACCTCCGCGCACCAAACCGTGAGGACACTGAACATGGAGACCAGGCACTAGTGCCCACTCGGGGAAGACAATTGTCGCGACAGTGTACAAACATTCCCAACTTCGATGATATACTTCCCACAAATGTGGAAATTAAGGAAAAGGGAGATTGTAGGGAAAATGGTACCTCGGAACCTAAATTCGCCGACTGCTATTCTTGGAGTCAATATTCTGAAAATGCAAGTGTCCATGACAGACTTGCACAGGAAGTCCTCGAGAAGGAACACCTCAGGGGTGGGGATCGACTGGAGTTCAATGGTTCAGATGGAACCAGAGCAGCAGCCCCAGATGACACCGCCATAGATCACCATAGTAACCACACCCGGGGAGACAATGGACCAATCCAAGAAAAATTTGATTTGGGAAAAACTCGGATGAACCTTGGTCCATGTCTTTCAATTGACGACAGTGAGTCTGAATCATCATCTGCAGGTCATGGCGATGAGGGCATGGTCACTGGTAATGGTTCTGTGGGTAACTCAGGTTTGGTGAATCAACAGCTATCTGCTGGTGAGGAACGGAAAAAGCCGCCCTTCCTTCCCAACTGGAAAACTTTATTTTTGAAACTGTCTTTACAATTACATGATTGCATGTATACAAACACTCTTCCAAACTGGCAAACTTAACAAGAGAACTTGATTGATGGATGGACAGAATATCTATGGGCCACAAGCAAAGGATGTGAAATACATTCCTTGCTTCAAAATGAAAGCATGCGTCCTGCTTAAGAGGTGATGAATGTAAATCTTTACTACCCTTTCCTCATATCAGTCGTCTTCTACGACAAGCGAAGCTATTGATGACTTCACAACTGGGTGACGGGTATATGTTCGGTCCAGTACACTCTTTTCAAAATTTCGAACGGTGCATACGTTATACAGAGCTTAAGAAGCAATTTCATTACTCGATCACTCGTCATAGTAATCACCAAATAGGTTAGCTTCCCCACTTAATTTCTTGCTTCTACATTTGTCTTTTTGAGATCAATTGTCATTCACATTTTTGCCACCGACTTACATGTAATTTTAGGATGGTAAAACCATCTGTAGAAACAAAGGAGACCAATGAAACAGCGTCACGTGTTTCATATTCAGGTCTATGCATAAACATTCAGATTGACTTTTACTTTTGTCAGGTAGACAATTGACTTTCCTTTGCGTGTATTCAGTGTGAAGGATACGGTCACACATAGTGCAACCGCTATTTGATAGTAATTCACCGGTGCATGCTTATGATAGTGTCTGTATCGTCCGACGGACCTAATTTTTAGCATAGATTTCATATCGTTATGGAGATGGTTTTGTCGCTCTTATCTATACATATCAACACTTTCCTTCATTGTCTCTATATAAGTGTCGCTGGTACTTTTGTGGTACTGCTCGCTGTCCAAGGGGGCTGACTTATCCAATATATTCAGCACATAACATTCTGCTGTAGCAGCTTCGAGGAAAACAGTATTCTTCTTCTCAAAGAACTGCAAAAGTTTAGTCAAGTCATCGATAACAAATATCGTGTATTATTCAAGAAATAAACATGGCCATTTACTGGCAAAAGTTTTATATTTTCCACGTATCTTGTAACTTGTAGTTTGAACCTGAAACCAGTTTAACTGATTGGAAATATGGCAAGAATAATCACATTAATACTGTCACAAGACTGTCATATTATCGTAAAGGGTTTAGCGCAACAAATCCTTCTCACAAAGCATATGCACGATGGCATATGACACTTCAAACAGAAACAGGGGCGATGGGGTAGCCTAGTGGTTAAAGCGTTCGCTCGTCACGCCGAAGACCCGGGTTCGATTCCCCACATGGGCACGATGTGTGGAGCCCATTTCTGGTGTCCCCCGCCGTCATATTGCTGCAATATTGGTAAAAGCGGCGTAAAACCATACGCACTCACTCCCTCGAACAGAAACATGTTTAGTTTCAAAATGTTTGTACAGCTTGTAACAACACTCTGCACACACAATATATGTTGTTAAAAAAGACTGAGTTTGGTATTCTATAGCTGTCTCCACAGTAATGACGACAGTGATGAACGTGATGAGGAAATGGTCACTGGTAATGGTTCTTAATTGGGTAGCTGCTCAGGTTTGGTTCAGGTTCGGCTGAATTTCGGCACACAGGGGCTTGTAACTCTAACAACTGCCATCAAGGTATGTATACTGTCAGTAACGTGCTTTGACCCCGTTAGTGACAGTAGGCCTACATACCTTGATGGCAGTTTTTAGCGTTACAAGCCCCTGTGTTTCGGCACTTACAAACTGACTTCACAGTCGCCGATATTATTATTATAGGATATTTATATAGCGCACATATCCACGCATTAGTGCATGCTCAAGGCGCTGGTATTTTTTCCCTCGATCATTGGATGTCAATCTCAACGGCACATCGCATTATCAATCTCAACTCCCTGGGGAGTATACAACTCTTGCAGCCACTAGGCGCACCAAGTTATTGTGGCTTTCTCATCCTAACGAGGTACCCAATCACAGCTGGGTGGACTGGGACGCATAGTCACAGTACTTTGTCCATGTTCACTGCACGTTGATGTACCCGCAACTAATTGTTTGCACATATTCATGTGGCTACCATCTGGTCAAATACCAACGGATTCGTGGGTTCTGTTAAGTGCACAGGGTTGTGTACTGTACACTAGGGGGTGACAACACTGAAAGAGTCTGCGCACAAAGTTGACTCCAAGGTTTTTACACCCGGTCACATGTGGGCTCGATCCCTTTACCTCAACCTCGCTGGATCACTAGCCTGGCGCCTTAGCCAGCTCGCCCACCGCGCCCCTCTGACGCAGGTCTGCCAGGGGCATACGTCACATCAGTCAAGATAATGGCATTTAAGCCCGTTTCTGATCTCTCCTGCCGCGATATTGCTGGAATATTGTAAAGCGGCGTAAAACAAAACTCACTCACTCGTGAAAGGGTCGCCGGTACTGTCACATAATTGACACAGCAGAGGCTCCACTGCAATTTAACGCATCGGCGGGTTTTAAATGCTATTGTTGGAAGGTCAAGGTCTACACTCACGCTATCATATTATCTGATTTGAAATATTATATGAATACAAGCAATTTATGAATATCATCTGTAATATCACTGAAGTTCTGATCACCATGTAACAAAACACCATCAATGAAAATCTTTTTCAATTGAACTGTCTCCGATCTCTATATCCATTTAGGCAAATGTCCCTCTAAAATGTATCATTATATAGACATATGTAACGGCCTATTGGGCGAATGTATATCGGTGATGGAACAGAATGTCGTTTTCTAATTGGCTGAGCCCTCTTCTATTAATTTCAATGTACCCCGCTTAGAATTGTTGCCGAAATAGCCAGAATATGTAGCAGACGACAAATGGATTAAAAATAGTCACGTGACATCATGGTCGATCATGTGACAAGATATTACGACGATACGCTGTGTCGTTTTGAGTAGCAGTAAGCCCATTTTAAAACGGGCATCGCTATACACGATATCAACGCTGTTACAATTGTACGTAATAATATGGACACGCGCTGTAATTCATCAATATTGTAATTCCCGTATTCTTGAATATACGAATGGTCCTCTCACAATAGGAGAAAATGCTACACAGTGTTAGATCCGAATTGTGATGATTTGTTTAAACAAGTACAATTTTCACACCTTGATTGTTGCTTGATTTCATATAGACACTTTGTATTGATGACAAGACCAAATTGCTTTAAAAGCAAACCACCCATGTCGATTAAATATTTTGTGAAAATTGGCCTTTGTAAATAATATTTGATGAACAAAGAGTTAGCCCCCGTGTTGACGCATCAAAAGTGTTCTTGTTGCTGTACTAAAGTGTCTACAGGACAAATTCAGCATTAATTCTAAGTTAAAGAACCACTAAACTTTGTTTTTTGTTACTCTTTTAACCATTACATATGAAAGATTTGTGGTTAGTCTTATGCGGAACACCAAATTTATTCTTTAAAAACTTGTGGTTAATTAATACCGAGCGATTAAAAGTGGCCAAAAAGTCGCCTGCTTCCCTCTCGCCCGCCAACGAAACCACAGACAGGTTACGTAACTCTGTCGCCAGAGCACTGCAGTGACGTCATATGAGGAACGATTTTCAGTTAGTTGTATGGAAAGTGTGTAGCACGCTCATCATTTTGATGATTTCTCGACATGAACGACGACATGCCGAATCGTTGCTTTGTCGTCAATTGCTCCTAGGGGTCGGGTGATGGTGTCACCATGCACAGATTTCCACAGGACCTCGCAGTTCGTGCTAAATGGGTTATGTTTGTGAGTGCGAAGCGAGCGTTGTGGAAGCCTGAAACGATATCTTACTTGTGTTCAGATCGCTTCACGGAAGTTAAAGAATCAAAACTACTTACTAGTTATAGTAAAATATGTATATGATTGATGGCCATAAAGATTTTCCATAACACAACTTGTAACATAACGATTTCTTCCTCGGAAGTGAGGTTGTGGTCGAAGTAACAATAATATTGTAAGTAGTATTATATTGACACCCACCTCGCTGCCAGGAGAGAAATTGTTATGTTATACGCTATGTCATGCAAAATCCTATTGGCCATCAATAAAATACATATTTTACTACCAGTAGAAAGTAGTTTTGATTTTGTAACTCGGTGAAAACAAACCTAAATAGCATTTATCCACAGACTGGTTGGTGGATGTTCCCGACAGGGCGCCGCCATTTTTGAAAATCGTAAAGTCTGTTAGAATTAATGAGATTATAGTTTGTTTTCATCAAGTTAGAAAATCAAAACTACTTTCTACTCGTAGTTAAATATGTATTGGAATCATAACCAAAAGGATTTTGCATGACACAACATAACATAACGATTTCTTCCACGGAAGCGAGGTGGGGGTCGAAGTCACAATACTGCGCGATAAATTTCTTGCTACATTCACATGGTTAATGTCCACTCACCAGTATGTAGATACTAGTCAATGTGCGTCTTTATATTTGGTCTTATAATCCTAATTAGTTTATTATCATACTTTTATGCATTTTGAAACTAAATAAAAAGCTGACGATCTGCTGATACTTATAGTGAATTTATAACAGAACTGTAATATCTAGACATTTTATAGTTTGCCAATGTGAATCATAATTCGCACACACACACTAGTGTATGTTGTCTGTCTCATTACACTTCACGGCGAAAACAATGATTCTGTTGAATGCTACGACAAATGAATAAAAACAAAATGCAAATATTAAAATTAAAACAGATTAAAGTTATAGGAACAATATCAGGCCATTACCTTGTTTGAGGAATGTATCCATCAATATCCACAAAACTGTTCCAAATGATGTGTCTTTTAACAGTTTAATATACGAAAAAGTGATAAATCTTTTCAGGTATTGGTGTATAGTCTCATTGGTCACCCAAGATAGCACACCTGGCAACTAATTGCATAATGTCCGCCTTTCATTAAAAACAGTAATTTAGTTAGCCAATAATGGGCAATCAATCAATGTATTGCCGGTTAATCCTTTGAAAGAAGGACGTTGTTTAATACGCAGACACCGGCACGGCAGAGTGTATTCAGTATAGATTAGTAAATCTACATACATAAACACTACCTTTTGACAATTCCGCTGTGTAAGATAAAAGTAATTGATCAATCAGCGTGTTATCGGTTAATCCTTTGATCGATGTTTACAATGTTGAATATTTACTCCAGACACAAGAAATGCCAAATGGGAACCTTTGTCGGGTAATCTAAGTGTGTTACCACTAATTATACCTGTTATAAATTCATTAACTGGCCATCAAGTGAATGATGACAAATAACATGTGTAGGTTTATACC